GATGAAAATGTGCGGGGGTGTTTGGATTACCCAATGACTGGGACCACCACTGGCATTTAGTAGGTGGGGTGCCAGGGATGCCAGGCGAGTGGCATTCTCCAGCATCCTACGCAAGTAGTAACAATTCTGCCTGAAAAGCCATTCTGTTTTCCACAAAGACACCCGTGTGAGAAACCACTCTTTCCTTCAAGTAAAACAATAAACAGACCAAACTACTTCCTCCACTGTTCCTACCCAAAGTCTCACCCCATTTAATATGTTTGAATATTACAGAATATCCAAGGGCCACGGCCAGTGCCCTGGTGGTAGATGGTATAGCAGGAGATGGCCGGCCGGGTAGGGCTTCCTTACCTGGGCATCTCAGTGTGGGCCGAGCCTCCATCCTCCAGGAACATATCAAAGCCAGGCAGACTTGCTAGCAAAGAGATGAGACATAGTTAGAGGCAAGGCAAAGTGGCAAGATGTGCCGGTGTTCCCTGTGAGGGGACTGAGTGTGTCTGCAAGTTTTTCCAGGAAGTTCCATTAGCTGTTCTCCCGCACCACCACCATGACTAAGAAAAACTAATATAGGGACATGCTGTGACATCACTCAGAAGATAAAATGTCCTAAATTCAGGCTCTCCCTGATGGTGCAACAGTTTAAAGCACCATATTGTGAAACTCTCCGAAGCCACTGCACCACAAGTTCGATCCCTGCCAGGCTGCTGACTCACACGGCATGGCAGACCTCTCCTGACCTACTCGCTTCTCCCCTCAGCAGTGTACTTTGTCAATCCGCCTGTTCTGCGCTCCCATCTGTCTCTGGTGAATCTCTCACTCATCACACCTCTGGCCTGTACCCCAGTTCTGTAAACATAAATAAATAAATCTTTTTTTGAAAATGCCCCAAATTCGAATGATGGGCAGCTATAAGGTGGGATAACAGCGTGATGGTGACGCTGGCACATGCCCCTGAGGGCTGTGTCCTGTTATTAGCAACTCAGTGTGTCAGGGCAGATGCTGATGGGGGATGGGAAACAGTTCTTAGGGAGAGCACTAAGGCTGTCTGTGATTTAGTAAGCATTATATAATTATTACATAACTATGTCAAGTGCCTGCGCTCGTTAAATATCAACTCATGTAATCAACAGCATTAAGGATTGTCCTTTCGGCCCAAATCACGGCAGAACTGCTGTGTCCAGTTCTGAGCAACTGCCATGCTCTGAGCAAACATGTATAGCAAACTGTTTTTTGATGCTGTGTACAAGAGAAGCTTCTAAATCTTGTGTACCTTTGTCTTACAAATGCCTTTTGAATGAATTTTTCCCTAAAAGCTACTGTCCAGGAGGAATCTACATACAAGAATGTTCATGCAGTTTTGTTTTTTTTTTAAAGATTTATTTATTCATATAGAACTGGGGTACAGGCCAGAGATGTGGAGGGTGAGAGGCTTCACCAGAGACAGAGCGGGGAGCAGAAGAGGCAGATCGACAAAGCACACTGCTGAGGGGAGCAGCGGGCGGGTCAGGAGAGGTCTGCCTCGCCATGTGGACTCCTCAGGGGCAGGTGGGAATCGAACTCATGAGGAAGTGGCTTAAGCTTCGTAGTGCAGTGCTTTAACCCACTGCGCCACCAGGGAGGGCCCTGTTCATGCAGTTTTAAAGCTAAAAAGTAGGAAAACTCCCTACATGGTCAACAATGGGGAGAGGAGGATAACAGGATGGAATATTACAGCAAAGCTAAGAGTTGTTTGTGGAGAAGCCTTCCAACCATGCTGTTTCCAATGAATTCAAAGATGCACTGAAACACAGAAGCAAAAGCAAGTGGTAGGGGCCTCCCCAATGGCACAGGGGTTAAAGTCTCAGCACTCTCAAGTTCTGGCCAGCCCCTGCAGCCTGAGTTCCATCCCCGGCCAGCGCGGCACAGCAGACCTCCCGTTTCTCCCGCTGTATATCCTCAGCAGTATATCTCAGTAGATCTGTCTGTTCTGCTCCCCACTCTGTCTCTGGTGAATCCTTTCAACTCCCACACCTCTGACCTAGATCCCCGTTCTTCTATGCATAAATAAAAATAAATCTTAAAAAAAAAAAAAAAGCAGTATCAACGTGTCTACTCCACGGAGGCCCAGACCTGTGATGCAGTAGCTCACACACTTGTGAACTCAATGTGCAATTTCACACATGAACCAGGGGAGCTTCGGGAGGCAGATCAAGGCCGCGGTCACAACTCAGGGCAGGGTTGTTGTGTGGCTGTGACTTGCTCTTTTCCATATCAACTTGCTACTGAATAAACTCATGGGGTTTTTCTACTTATTATCTCCCAGTTCTGCCTCAGAATAAAGCACTCTCAAGAGTCATTACCTCCCAACGCATTCATTTTTCCTTTCCAAAGTCGAAAGTTTGACCTCTTTAAAACATACTATTGCGGGCTCTCCCTGGTGGTGCAACGGGTTAAAGCACCACATTATGAAGCTCTTGGGAATGACTTGTAGCCCAATTGCGATCCCCGGCCAGGTTGTTGACCCATATGGCTTGGTAGACCTCTCCTGACCCGCCTGCTGCTCCCCTCAGCAGTGCGCTTTGTCAATCTGTCTGTTCTGCTTCCCATTCTGTCTCTGGTGAATTCACAAGGTGCCCCTGAACCTCTGGCCTGTACCCCAATTCTGTATGCATTAATAAATCAATGTTTTAAAAAACACACTGTTGCATTTGCATGAAATTATACTGCAGGTGCCAAAATTATCAGATACAGAGGGATTATAATTGGCTATCAAAATCAGGCTTTATCTAATGATTTTGAAAAACTGACCCAAAACGTATAAAAAGTGTATTGAAAGCTATGTGCCAGACATTTTGTTAAGCACTTTGCATATTATTTAATTCTCCCATTCACCCCGTAGGGAGGAATTCTTTTTGCTCCTATTTTACTGAAGAGTCAGAATCGTGAGGGTTAGGGAGTTTCCACATGGTTGACAGGCATGGACAGCACCATGGTGCACAAAAGAAGACCAAGTATCTACAGCCCTGGGGGCCTCCCTGGTAGCCTAGGGTTAAGTCTCAGTGCTAAGGAGAGATGGCCTGTGTTCCATCCCTGGCCAGGGAACTGACCCACATCGCACGTCAGAACTCTGACCTCCCCCACTGCTCCCCTCAGCAGTATATTTCAGTAGATCTGCCTGTTCTGCTCCCCACTGTCTCTGGTGAATCCTTTCACCCTCTACACTTCTGGCCTATACCCCAGTTCTTCTGTGTAAAAATAAAATCTTAAAAAAAAAAATAGAATAGCCCTGGAAGGTGCAGCTACCCAAAGAGAAACAGCCCTGTGCTAAGGGCTTCATTTAAAACCTTCCAGTCTTGGCTTTGCTGCCAAGCCTGTGTCCCTCACCACACTCAAGTTGCTTGGTCCTAGTTAACCATAGTGCTCCAGTGTGTCAGAGGGAGGCCTTGGACTAAACCTGGAGGGCTTTGAGGGCTGTTGCTTTCTCCAGAGGGCAGAGCCTGCAAATCACTGGAGGGCCAGTGAGCCACAGGACTTTTGCGTAGGCATGAAAGACTCATCTCTTAGGCTTGAACTCTGAAAACTGCTATCCTAGCTCAAATCAAAGCTCAGTTCCCTAAAGCACTAGACACATTCCTTAAAAGATCGTGTTTCTACAACATACTTACGACCTCTGTATGAGGGTACTGGCACAAGGTCCTGCCCGGCAGACCTATCAAGGGGGAAGCAGGTAAATGGTGCCCTGTGTGGGCTCCCAGGTTGGACATCAGGATGAGCACTCGGCCCCACCCTTCACCTGGCCCCTGAATCCTGTCCGTGGCAGATGCAAGGAAAGGGCGAGTGTCTCATCCTCAAAACTCTACGAGTCTTATCCTTAGCAGTCTCCACAAAACGAGTCTTATCCTTAGCAGTCTCCACAAACCTCTGCTTGTGTGGTTCAGTGGTAGGATGTATGTAGAATGTCCACTCACTCATTCATCCTGGGATAGGTGTTAATGACTTAACTGTTCCTCCCAAGATTCTTTTTTGTTTTTTTAAAAATATTTATTTATTTATGCATACAGAACTGGGATATAGGTCAGAGGTGTTCAGAGGTGCAGGGGTGGTGAGAGAACTCACCAGAGACAGAGTGGGGAGCAGAACAGGCAGATCGAGGAAGTACACTGCTGAGGGGAGCAGCGGGTAGGTCAGGAGAGGTCTGCCGCTCCATGTGGTCACCTCTGGGGCAGGTGGGGATCGAACTCATGCTGTAGCAGCTTTAGTTTCTTAGTGCTGTGCTTCAACCCGCTGCGCCACCAGGGAGGGCCCCTCCCAAGATTCTTAACTTGAAGCCCCAATCCCCAGTTACCTCAAAGAATGTATTAGAAAAGTGGCCTTAAATTGAGACATTAGGATAGATATTAGTCTAATCTGACCAGAATCCTTAGAGAGATGCAGGGCCTCCCTGGTGGCACAACAGGTTAAAGCACAGCACTATGATACTTTCCCACAGTCACTGCAGCACGAGTTCAATCCCCAACCAGGGAGCTGACCCACATGGCGCGGCAGACCTCTCCTGACTTGCCCGCTGTTCCCCTCAGCAGTGTACTTCGCCAATCTGCCTGTTCTGGTCTCCACTGTCTCTGGTGAATCCTCTCACCTCTGGTCTTTACCCCAGCTCTGTATGCATAAATATATAAATTTTGAATAAGTAGGAAAGAAAAAGAGATGCAGGTAAACAGAGGGACACCAAAGGTGAGAGTATAGACACAAATGGCCGCTTGAGGGCACAGGGAGCCTGGCACAGAGGAATCAGAAGAAAATGAGCTTGCTAACACCTTGGCCTTGGATTTCTGGTCTCCAGAATTATGAGAAAACAACTTCCTGTTGTTTGAATCCCCCAGTCAGGGGCGCTTCCCTTTAGCAGCCTGGGCAACTAACAGAGGGCAACATCTACTTGTGTCTTAACCACTGCCCACCATGATGCAGCAACTGAATACAATAAACCAAAGGCTGTTTGGTAAATACTTTTAATTACCTGATAATCATACAATTTTCACTAGTCAGTATTTTATATAAAACCAGTTACAATACACAGATTTTCAAATACAACAGTATGTATCAAACTACATAGATATGCCAAGTTTACAGGCCATTATTGAAGCTTTATCTTAAAAATACCTTCAGGAAAATAAACGTCCGTTCAACCAGTTCTCTCAGATTTATAAAATATGATTAGAAATATACACTTTAATAAAAAATCAAGACAATAGATCAAATACTGATTAATCAGTTACATTTTAAACATAATAATCTGTACATGAGTGCAGGCGAAGTCTGCAAATTATTAATATAAAACTGCAGTACTATAATCCGATGAACAAGTCTGCTGACAGCTAATTCTACTGGAGTAAGGAGGTAATTTCCTACACAGTACAGGTGAGTGGTCCAGTCTTTAGACACAGCTGTAGTATTTCCATTTGGCAACATGGAGAATACTCAGGCCTGGGAGACACGTAAGAGCAGCAACTAGCCTCAGTTGGGACGGCTTCAGTGGGAAACAAATACTAAGAATTTTAAAAGTTTTTAAAATTGTTTTTGACGAGTAGTGCTTTCCAAAATGCAGTAATTATTCTTAAAACCGGATACTGAGAAGCAGCAAGGCTACATTTACATCAAGGAGTGCCCTGTTCACTGCTCACGACCAGTGAATGACGCCGAGGCCAGGCCCCCGGGCCCGCACAACTGTGGCCTGGCAGGTCTGCTCGTCCCTGTGGTGTGCCATGGGGGGCCAAGGGCATTTACTTCTTAAAACACTGACAAAAAAAAAAAAAAAACCGCCTCTAAAATGTGTCTGGGCCCGAGAAAAGAGGTAGAAACAACCCTCTTCCGTGGAGGCAGGAAAGAAGTATGTGAGAACAAGCTAAGGGGATCAAGTTCAAGACAGAAAAATCCTGGAGACCAGAGGAGCAGCATGTCACTAGGAAGCAGCTGCAGGGCGATAAGGCTACTGGCGTCAGTGAGGCGCTGCTCAGGACCAGCCCTGCTCACCGCCAGTGAGAGAGTTCTAGTTTCCAGCATCACAAAAACAGAAATCTGTATTTCTTGGGACCCAATTCCTTTCAACTACCCCTGACTCTTTATGATTTGAGCTCCCCACCCCCTAGAGCTTCAAGCGCACCCATCAATATTCATTTCTGAGTTTAATTCCAATGGCAACTGTCTTGTTATACCTTCAAAGCTATGTAAGCCTCTGTAGTTATTGGAATCTTTCTGTCGGGCATGCCCTGTTTCCTATTACATAGCAAAGACTCAAAGTTAAGATTGTCAGAATATTCTTGGCAGGCCGACATCTCCAACTGGGGGCTGGGGAACCCACTTGCAGAGCAGGAAGAACATTCCATCAGTCAGGGCCAGGGACTTCCTGGATTCTAGACATAAGGAAAGTACTGTGCTATTGGGTCCATCTGAAGCGTTACCCCAAGTCCTGCGTGAGTTTCCAAGGAATGTTTCTTTATAAATTATCAGTGTCCTATGACTGGTTTCAGTGAGCCTGTTAAATATACAAAGATTTTTTAGAAAGAGCCACAGTGATAGCAATTCTAGCTGGAAATGAGAGCAGCCAACACAAAAGGGCAATTTGTAAAATAAAATGTAGTGGTTAATAGTGAAGCCCAAATTTTTCACTTTGGCCAAGAAATCGAATGGCTTGTTCACTGGGAGGGAGGCAGCACATGCTACTCGTGACGTAATAAGCCAAATCAAAAAAGTTCAGCTGAAAGTTTGATTTTCACAATTACCTGGATTATTAACACAGGAGATGGCCTTAAAAGTCTAACGGGAAGAAGAGTTGCCCTGAGAATTCAAAGTTTTATGCCTCGGCAGTTTGAATATTTTGTTTGTTTCCTAGTACACAGTAAATGGAATGTTTCTCCTCACCCAAGTGTCCAGAAGAGCAGTCATTTCACTCAGCCAGTGAGTCTTTATGTCTGTTCACCTCCAGGAATAGAGAACCATTATTTTTCTGCTACCCCACTGCTTACAAGCTGCTCTGAGCCTACCTCAGTGGTGCCTGGGGATGGGGTGGGGTGGTGGTGAGCTATTTGTTTGGCATCTCCCATCTCCCCTCAAAGCTAGTCAACTTCACAAGTGAACCGAAGAGTAAATTCCAAAATGGTGCCTTCCAATTACTTTTTGTACTAACAACTTTAGTTTATCCAAATCACTCATAGTTTTGCTAAAAAGGCAGTTTTTCCTGTTTTTTATGGAATTGCCTCTGATCTTGTAATGTGAGGGCACTTACTTTCTCTGTTGCTTTCACACATTACATTTTCACATTCTTCAACCTAAGATAGACAGAAATTTACTTCTTACTATGGAAGTAATCAAGGGAACTGCAAAATATTCTTTTATTGGGGGGGCCATTTTTTTTTCTTAGCAGCAAATTTCTTTTTTTTTTGCAATTGCTTTGTATCAGTCTCTGCTACGGTTCTGTAGGGTTGAGGGGAGAAGGCACTCTGTAAAGAGTTATTAGTTATATTCCCTAACCAAAGGCAACAGTGAGTTTCTTATTTACAAACAACTGAAATCCAGATGTGAATAACTGGCACTGAAAACAAAGGATACCTGTGAAAGATCTCAGGCAGATCACATGACCAGGAAAAAAAAAAAACCCCAACAATGTTACAGGGTACCAAAGAAGCAGTAACTTTAAATACAAAAGCTAACATCCTTAGGTAATCACTGCTTTAAGGGAAAACAACCACTGTGTTTTTTACAAGGCAAGTAAAGTAACAGGATTTTAATCTGTAGTTGGCAGCCCTGGCATAAAGGATCTAAAAGGAGACTTTTACAACAATCGTTCATCTCTGTAGCCAGTTTCTCTTCCTGAGTCTTTTACAGCTACCTTTACTGGTCTCTTGCAAGTTAGGTTACCAAAGGATCGATCACTTTGTATCAAAACATGCAACAGCCTTCAAGTGGGGGTTCTCACAGATTCTTATAATATAAAGCACTCTTTGGTGGAAGACAAGCAGCTTGGGTACTTAACAGAGCCAACATACAACAATATTACAATATTAAAGTGAAGATGATTAAACCAAATCTTATCAGATTACAGAAAGTACCATTTCAGGAACACCTGTTTTAGCTTTATAAATTTTTGACACATAGTGAATTCAGAAAATAAATACATAAAAAACCTCCATCAGAGCCTCAATTCTTCTGAAGGCGAGCAGCTAAAATGATTGCCATTGTGAGGACACAATCACACCACACAAACTAGTCAGCTCTCTTGGTATCAAGACTAAATTTACACCTGAGACTAAATTTACAACAGCTTTTTTGTTGCTACGCGTGAGACATTTCTATGAAAGGAGCTGGGCCTTCTTCAAGTCATTTGCTTGTACCCAAACTCATGCAGTTACTGAAACTTCAGTAGAGATTTTCTTCTTTGAACAAACTTCTTAGGTAGAAAGCAGCTAAGGCTTTTGCATTTTTGTTTTGTTTCCAAGTAAGTGTGCTAATAAGTCCTCTCGTAGTTTTCTGTTCCTAGAGTCTTCCTTCAGTTCTCGTCACAGATTTTAACTTAACGCAAGACTGTTTTAGTCCTTGAAATGGCGGGACTACGGAGGGAAAAAAAAAGGAATTTACCATGAAGGTTTTCAAGTGTCCATATGTAGTTTTAGCAAAGACAAGGAAGGCAACATAATAAAAAATACTGACATGCTAAAAAGTATATACACTTTATATAATGATTTAATGACAAACATTTTGGAAAAGAAAGTACAATACCAACCATAAAGTAAAAACAAACAGGAGAGAGAGGCAGAGCACAAAAACGTTCAGTTCTGCAAAAAAAATGAAAAAATAGTAAAAAAACCAAAAGTTTAAAAAGGGAGGGCAAAGCAGCGGAGCAATGAGAGTACCATACTGCCATTAAGGGCATTTGCTGCAAAGCATTCCTTTTCCTTCTTTCCCTCTGAGGAACCAAGCTGTGGGAAAAGTAGAAAGAATGAAAAGATAAAGAAGTGTTACTTGATTACTTTGAAAGCCAGAATTCAGTCACAGACAAAGCTCTGGCACCTCAAGCAGTTTCCAGGTTGGCAGAGAAGAAGGTGGCCGGTTTGGCCAGCAGGCGGACCTTGTTCCCAGGCCTGAAGAGGACAGGACCATGCAAAGATACAGAAGGGCCCTTTTCTGTTCCTGAATAGGTTACCCTGCCTGACCCCCACTCTCTTTTCCTCCATCCTTCCCCTTTTCCCAAATGTCAAATGTATTATGTTACTTTCAACTACATAGCAGTTTTGGGGGGGGGGGGAGGAAAGCATCAGAAAGAGCAATTCCGATCTGAGGCACCCTTCACTTGGATGATGAGACCCTATCAGAGAAGTTCCTCAGAACTGATCACTTAGTTTATGGAGACCCCAGGTCAGTTGGTGGAGCAAAGCAGGAAAATACCTGGAATTTCAAAGGGGCATTAATAATTTAAAAGGTCAGAAGTCTCTAGTATTAAAAAAAATAATAGTAAGACTTTTAAATTGCAGGTGTTTTGAAGAAAATGGCAATAACAAAAAGGGAAAGCCTAGAAATGACAGAACAAACACTGAGACTGGGAGAAGAAGCATTGACAGGTAAGACGACAGCAAAAGTCAGGATGAGAGACTGAGCGAGTGTGGAGTCCCAAGTGCACCGCTCCTCCCAGCTACGTGGTTTCAGAGGCCTAGAGTCTAAGCATTCACCTCCCCCCAACAGGAACACTTAGCTAAAGTAATGGACTTAAGACAGGTTTGAAAGGAACAGAAAGTGATGGCTCCCAATGATGCAACTTGGAATAACAAAAAAGGCACTTGTACAGAACAGTTTTCTTAGAAAAATGAAGTCATAATTTCCAAAAAAGCATAAGCTTCCAGAAACATGCTCGCAAATGGGTTGAGACTGTGAAAGACATGAACTGAATGGAATGATGTCAAATGAGGTGCCTGCAGGAATCAACCTATTTAGCCAATTCTTCTCTGCATTTATTAGTTCTTAAAAGGGAAACATTAAAATGGGCTTATAGCATTAACAGGATGGGAAGCATGGGAGCCCATCAATTTAATTCTTCAGACTTGAAAAAGGAGACAGTGAAGTTCAGCACTGAGGTCGGTGTGCCCCCCACCACTTGGCCTGAACAGGGTTTGTCACCAGGGGCCTAAGGGAATGTGGCTCATGTTCAGAGGACACACCTGGGAATTATCACCTGCTATGAGAGAAAGCTCATGGCATTTCTTCCCACACAGGAAGACTTTGGACAAGTTCATGTATTTGGTCGCCAAACAGTTGTTCTTTTAAATGTGTTTGAGAAAGTTCTCCAGAGTTTGAAAAGCCTCTTAGTCCAATGTCAAAAATTAAAAGAACCAAATCAGTGGAAAATGAGGATAGATGGGTCTTCAGACTGGAAGCCTCTAAGGACAGAACAGAATATGGCAATGAAAAGCTAAGTTCCTATGACATCAGATGATGATGACAATGACGATGATGATTATGATGAGTGAACATCAACCTGCAAGAGAAGGCCTCACACATGAGGCAAGCGCAATCTGGAAGCCCTGGTCCTCAAAGTATCTATAGGAGTACACTCAAAGGGAATTCTTGGGTTATTTTTTTACTGTGGGTCAAAGAAAACATTGCTGTTCAGTATTTTTGAATTTTTCAATAATTTCAGCTGATGTTATTTGATACAAATGTGTTTTTTTTTTCCTCATTATCCTCCAACCCAAAATGAACACTATTCAATAGGATAAAAAGTCAGGCCAGGGCTCTCCCTGGTGGTACAGCGGGTTAAAGCGCACCACTGCAAGCAAGTCACAGCTGCTTCAGTGTGAGTTCGATGCCTGCCCTGGAGGTGACCCACATGGCGCAGCAGACCTCTCCTGTCTCGCCTGCTGCTCCCCTTAGCAGTGTATTTCGTCATTCTGCCTGTTCTGTTCCCTACTCTGTCTCTGGTGAATCCTCTTACTGCCTCTGGCCTGTACCCTAGTTCTGTATGAATAATCTTTAAAAAAAAAAAAAGTTAAAAAAAAGAAAAGTCAGGCCACTACCTAGTTGCCTCACTTCCTACCACTTCCTAGAAGCAACTCGTGGGACTTGTACAGAAAGCGTTTGCCTTTCTTTTTTGAGCTCTCGGTGGCTCATGTTAAGGTGATGTGACATAGGCCAAAGCCTTGAAAAAGGCTGAGAGACCCTGCATGGAAGGAAATGATTAAGCCCACTAGAAGACCCAGTTAGCCACTCACTTTAAACTTCTTTGCCTAAATTCTGAGTGGCCATGCCAGTTTTTGAAAGAACACTGGTTTTTAGCCCTGTGCATTATTCAAAATGCCTGGAAACTGCTTTGTGCCACTTAACAGTCAGCCCAACTTAAGAGTGAATTCCTACTTCAAATCCCTAAAAGCAACCAGCCCAGTGACCTCATGAGGGCAGATGTTCACTGCCATCAGGCATCACCTCTGCTGAGAAGCACAAGTTTAGACGAATGGATAAGACCTAGATGAAAAAACCCTCTACCGCCAATCGCCCTTAGAGGAACATGGTGATTGGGCTCTGGTGGTCCCAGGTCCTGGCCTCTATTCTCTGTAACCTGAAGAGCACAATCCAGAAAAGCAGAAAACAAAATTAAATGTGTAAGACACACTCGACTGTAATAGAAGCCTGAGCAATTGTACTGAAAAAGAATACATCCACTCAGAGCAAGTCTCGAGTTCCTAATACCAACAGTAGACTGGAACTTGGATTTTGACAGTTTAATTCACCTAAAAGTGTCAAGGTGAAAATTTCCCCATTTCTCCTCATTTGTTGTAGAGAAGTTAGAAAATTGAAAATAATTTAAAAAAAAAATCAAAAAACAATTGCCCTACCTCAATCAGAAGAAATGTTAATATGACATTTCCCACATGTCTTACCTACAAAGTTTATACACATAAATATTTACATTCTATGTATTTCTATACAAATAAAATGTACTGTACACATTTATAAAATTAAGCACTACTTCATAACTTTTAGGTTGTAGCACTTTTCACTTACTGCCTCTTGAGCACTTATCTAGGTCATGACGTTTTCTTTCAAAACATGAGTCAGATTCACTTGGCATAATTCACAATTTTTATTTCTATCTTTAGCTTTATCTTGCTGTTAGAATTCTGATACCATGATATAATGTACCCAAATCACTGACCTTTTGTTTTTCCAAGTGGAATTAGAGAATAAAAAGATTACAAATATGCAACACTTCAATAATGAAAAATGTAAATCCTAAAATCCCGAGCGAGAACTCAAATCCTTATATTTGGGCATTACCCTATTCTCATGTAAATAAACTGTACAAAAGAACCAGCAAAGAGAAAAAACTAAATGATGTCTTACAAAGCAAAAGAGAGCAAGCTCTCTGCTTGGTGCCCTGGAAACAGGGTGCCAGGGAATCATCCCAGACTAACTCAGCACAGGCCGAAGCCTCAAAGACAGGCAGGGAGGAAAATTAAAAAGAAGCAGGAAAACTGTGAAGGGCACTTCAAAACTGGTCTGGGTTATTGTCAAGGAGACATACTGTATCCTGAGCACAGAAACACAGCACCTCTGGCTTAGGGCCACACAAGTCACCGAGACCACCAAAGATGCCCAAACACTGAAGGGTGCCCACTTCCACTCCTGAGAGGACAGGAGTGACTAAAGGGACTTGCTTCTGGAATATATTAAAAATGAAACATCTACCTACAGCTCATGATTAACACCTAAAGATACCTGTGAGGACTGCATTCAGTTATAGAACATGTCCATTTTCTTGTCAACGCTTGTAGCTAATGAAGGAAGTAAAAGATGCTGTACTCTCAGTAAGAACAGCACCCTTGGGAGTGGACTGTGGCCAGAAGGGCAGTCCCCAGGTAGGAAGGATGCCCAACTCACTAGAGTTCTCTATTTCCATGATTATACTTGTAACTAACTCTTCAAAAATGATGCAGTATGTGATAATAGAGAAAAGGTTTCTCTTTTGAAATTTTAAGAACGTATAATATAACATTCTCACATCTTCAGGATTGAAAATTGCCTTTGAAAAACAAACCCCTACATTAAAATCATCAGATTTTTCTTAAAGAAGTCAAACACATTTGATTTATTTCCACAGGGACCCTGATTTCTCCTATCTTCATTTCTACCTCCAGAATATAAAACTGGAAAACAATGCTTGGAACTTTTCAAAGAACAGGATTCTTTTCTCACCTTTTAAAACTGCTTTTTCTTGAAGCAGATCTGGTGGTTCTTTTAGTAATGCCTGTACTGCCAGAAATGTTAGGTTCAGATGTTTTACAGCTCTGAACACTGGACTGAAGAATTACTCTGAAAACAGTTGGAAAAAAATAAGATTATATTCACTGAAGCAATTTTCAAATACTTGACAGAGGAAGGCATTTTGCACCTTAGTGGAAATTATCTTATTGAGAACTGATAGGATTTTTCTATCAATACATTTGCCACAAACATCTGAAATACAATTTTACATCAAAGTCTTTTGAAAGGAAGCAACTCATTTCCCTACTCGGTTACACACTGATAACCACAATTCTTTGTTTTTGAAAACTGAGTGAACTTGAATTTTAAGTAATTTCTACACCAAAGAAATCAATTAGCAAAATAAATCTTTGTGACCCCCCCAAAGTAAAAGAAGATTCTCAGAATTCCAGTTGAAAACAAAATCTAATTCTAAAGAATATAAGTATCAACATTGCTTCAGAGCTGAAAGTATAGACAACAAATAGCAATCACTACTAATTTGTCATTTCAAATCACAAAAACGTTGAAGCAAAATTTGAGTTTTGCTCAAATAATAACTACTTACTAAATCTCCAAGTAGCATTCACATGAAAGTAAAATTTCATGGAACTTGCCTTAATTAAATTCTAAATATCTCAAGGATCTGATGCCTATGGGAACAGACTGCCCAGGAGGGAAACTCATGAATCAGAAAGAACAGTCTCAGATTAAGCCCACACTGAATTCCTTGTTCATAAGTAAAGGGTGTTTTAAATTCTTCTTTGAATTGTCACAGAGAAAACATCAAAAGGTTTTTGATATATTTCTTTACTTCAGGGGATAATGACTACAATATCAAGCGGCATCTAAACACATTCAGATATACTCAGCTTTTTATTTATCTGTAAGAGAAAACATTGACTTAAAATTAAATTGTCTTCTCATATCCAAACACAAAGGTGAGTTAGCCAACAAATCAGCTATTAAGAGTAAAAAGAAACCACTACAGCTAACTAGTAGTCAGTCCTACTTCCTGTCTGTGTAACTATGCGACTCAAATACCAGGTCTTCAGAATGTCACTAAACATGTCACTAAATTCCAATGGGTTGATTATACAGTTCTCAATCTGCAGGTACCAGAGGCCAACTGTTTTTCAAGCTGTTAGGGAAGAGGGAAGGAGAGGAGGGGGACACACTCCACTGTTGTGCTTTATGTAGTTTTTCTGGAAATCTTAGGAAACCACTTCAATCTCATTGAGAAATGCTGCTGGGTAAATGCGACCAATCATCCAGTAATGTCCTAAATGTTGACCACACTAATACAGAAGAAAAGTCTATGCAGACACAGCTGCCTACTCAAAGGCCCTAATTGCTCTGGTTATGTGAACTCTATCATGGCAACCAAGGATTTTAAAGGTGTTTTTGATTATAGAAAGTAAGGGTGAAATATTTAATTATCGCTCTTAAGGATTTGAAGCTAGAATGTTTCACAAAGAAAAACAAGCAAAACAACAACAAAAACAGAGGTGATGCTGCTTCTGTTGATTTTTCTGAAGTCTAGCTCAAGGCTCAGTATGAAGTCTCAAAGCCTCTCAATCACTCTGTCAGGCGCAAAGTTAGCTTTTATCTTCATTTTAACAAATGGGGAAAATGAGAGACTACTGTGCTTTTTAAAAAATACCACAGCTATTTTTCAGATGACTTGAGGGTACGGATATTCAAGGTTTAGATGACAACTTTCACACCGTGAAATCAATCATATGAGGTGAAAAAAAAAAAAAAACAACCCACCAACGCATAGCCACTTAAGAACTTATTTCCTAAATTAACTGTTACTGAAACATTTAAATTGGAAATGATTCTAAGTCAAATTTTAGACTGATAAGAAACATCTGTTTCAAAGTACTTATTTTTTGTAGATAATTAGTGTGGGTAATTAATATGAAGTAATATAGTAATAGCTAATAATTTATGTGCAAATTTAAAACTAAGAGCATGATTGAAACTTGGAATTCATTGATCACACACCAAAAACGATTTAGGCCACTGTCATATGCATTAAAAACAGAGCAGTTATTACAACTGTAGGTTACACATTAACAAAGTGGATAGAAAACCCACAAGCCACTTAGCTATCATCTGTGACAGCCCACCTACGGTGTTACATGTAACCCCACCTAAAGGGGGAGACACTAACATAGCCACTCATGGCTCTGCAGAGCAATATCCAGCATATGCATTTTCTCCTTCCCCTGACAAATTCCTCAGCTCCACTTGTTATCTCTTTCCATACTGTACTTTCTTCTCTACAGTATCTTTTGAGGCTCAGAATTCTCAGATTTTAGATTTGAAGGTACCAGCCACTTGAGGCACAATATAGTGAAAAACTAAAAAGCCAGGTCTCTTGACTATCAAAGACTCTACTTCCAAGAAAAGGTCCACCACTTACACAAAGCAGCTTTCAAGATGAGGGGTCTGCGCCCTGCAGCCTGAAGGGATTGCCTTCACTACTAAGAGCTGCTGGCACCCACTGAAGGTGTTATTCTAGTTGTGTTCATCAGACCAGAGGTGAATATGACGAATCTGCTGGAGAGAAGAGCCTCACAAGGTAGCTACAAGGATATCGTAAGTTTACATCACTGTTACTGTGGAAAATGTTTCACTAAATTCCAAATTGCTCAGGCAGGCTAAACTGAATTCTAGCTTCAGGTCTACAAATGAAATGACATGTCAGTGAAAAAACAAAAAAGGCTTTATACACAATGGTAAAGATTGCTTGATAGAGGCTATTTTGAACTTCATCTGGGAAAAATATTATAATCATGGCTACCTATTATTAGCAATGGCAGTACCCACTTAGAAATATTTTTGCTACTTGGAATAGTATAAGTAAATCTAAGCACTATGTGATATTCCTAACTGAGAACCTATGTTTACTAAGAAAAGCACAAAAAACTCCATAAAGGGACAATGTGTCAGAAATAGAGTGTTATCTGTCTAGTGAAATGGTTATATTGATAAATTATTCAAGAAAACATTGAAGTAGGAACCTGCTAAGCAACTTTTTCTTAATTTAGGAAAGAAAGAAGTCTGTTTAAATTTTAAATATTTTCTTGCCATCTGAAGATACTCAGGGTAGACCACAGAGTACTAGAACTGCTTGCAAAGGAATTTTAGAGGCGATCCCAGAAGGAACGTTTGTATTCTTTAATAATTTTAAGTCCAAGTTGGGGGAAAAAAAAAAGAAGAAGAAGAAGACAATCCTCAAAGAGGAGTTAAAGAAAAAGTTTCAGAAAAAGAGGAATGCAGCCGAGAAGGGTGGTGGCTCCAGGCTGCTGCCTCTACATGCTCTCGGGTCCTCAGTCAGACAGGTAAGCTCTGCCACATTCTCTGCAGAAAAGATGACTTTCACCATTTTAAAGACCTTCATTTCAGGATGAAAGATAGGAAGAGTCTATAAACTCTGCCTGTATTCACCACAGAAAGGCATTTTGTTTTCTTTTGGAGAAGGAAGACTGAGAGGGAGGGAAAAAATGATGGCCATGTAGAAAGCACCATCTTCTCTGCCCTCCTATTTGGCTTAATAGCAAGCTTTGAAATCTACTGAACCACATTCCCTAAAGCAGAGGAAGTGAACTGAGATAGAGGCGGAAAATCTGCATAATCAAGACAGAAGACGTTATTAGGGGAGCAGCCGCCTGCTGGAAGGGCTCAGGGTGCAGAGCAGGTAAAATGGAATGCCCTATTTATCAGACCTCACTGTGACAAAATAAAATTTCTTAAGAGCAAGAAATAGGTGGGAAGATCACTTTTTGCTAGGTTGTAAAAGATATACTAGATATTTACTTTAGAAGACCAGAAGGATGTTGGAAAATTGAAAGAAAGCCACCCAATTATCCCAGACTAACTAAATATTTTGACCAGGAAAAGAAATCATCTCAGTGTCTTTGTAAGCTGTTATTTCAAAAACATGTGCTAAGAATAAGCACAATTTGAAAACAAAATATTATTTTTAACATCTCTTGTTTGAAAGGAACTGTGAAAGACCTCCCTCCCCACTACTGCCCCATTACTTAAAAGATTCAGGAAAAGAATCTTTGGGAAAAGGCAAATCAACCAAGGTGGGAGAGCTGCTAGTGAGAAAACATGCATCATGAAGAACACAATGGCTAGTGGAGGTGAGCACTCGTAGAGAAATGGAGTGAGACACTTACACAGCAGCTATTTGTCAAGGGTCCTGATGGCTATTGTGTTCTTAAACCATCGAGACAGAATAGCAGGATGGGAAGAATGTAGTCACAAACAATCCACCAGATGACAACACTACACAGTGCAGAGGTCAGCACAGCTAGGGAACATCTGGAAAGGGGTGAAGGGGAAAGAACAGATGTTGAAATTGGGAAGCCAAAATAAACAAAATAATAAGTAAAGCCACATGTGAATTTTAGATACCCAGTGATGCAAAGGGACGGGAACAAGGAATGGAGTTTTTATGTTGGGATAACAATGCCATCTTTAGTTCTACACTGATTAGACACTTAGGGACAAAGAATTCAGCCCAATTCCTACATCAAAAACTGTCCCAAATTAGTTGTCTGGCATAGAAATCTGAATTATAGTTATATGACTGAAATTCTTTAAAAAGCAAAAAAACTGAGCCAAGGGCCCACTTTGGTGGCGCAATGGGTTAACTAGCACTATGAAGCTATCACAGCCACTGCAGCACAAGTTCGATCCCTGGACAGAAGGTGACCCACATGGTGCAGCAACATTTCCTGACCCGCCCACTGTTCCCCTCAGCAGTGTACTTCGTCAATCTGCCTGTTCTGCTCCCCACTCTGTCTCTTGTGAATCCTCTCACCCCCCCCCCCCGTACCTCTGGCCTGTATCCCAGTTCTATATACATAAATAAATCTTAAAAAAAAAAAAAAGTATAGATTTCCTTAGCTGTTTGTGCTGTGTTTTCCTCACATGACCCAAAGTGGTTTTCAACTTAGTGTTTTCTTAACCCACTGGGTCTGATGTCCAGCTGATAGGAGAGAAGCCTCTTCACAGTCGCAAAGGTGGTAACTCCTTTAGCCACCACATTTCCAGATGGTCACATGTATATATGTGTGACCAAATAGAAAAACTCTACCAAGCACTTGCTTTGTGCCAAGTATTGAGATAATCACATTGGAAATAACTGATTCACCTTATTATACCATCTTTATCTATGTGCCAGGACTGCTGATAAAAAGGGATTATAATAAAGGATGGGACTGAAATCAAATCTAAAAATCTAACCTTACTTCCACTCCCCAATTTACACCTCTTCCACCTCATCCAACCCTCCCACCAAAAACAAACAAACAAAAAAACCAGTTTAAGCCTTTTAAGAATTTTTTTCTAAATATTAACATCAGTATTTATACAGAATGGAATAATATAGACCTTTACCCATCACAATTTTCATTTGTGTTACTGACTTAATAGTTACCTAAAAGGCAGCTTATTTGTCCTTCTAGTAAAGTTCATGACATTAAGAACTGTTTTTCTATTCTGAAACAGTGATGATCCACTCACACTGTACTGATAAAAGGGACTGCAGGAATTTTCAAGGTTAATTATATTTACAGTTTTATCTTAGTCCGTGTAGGATGCACTTTCACTCTGTACTATTTCACTTAACCCTAAAAGACCTAGCAGAAATAATCAGTACGCAGAAATACCAAATACACACAAACAACAATACAATTGCCATCACATTCTGAAGATCACCTCGAGGTCATGGTGCTAATGATTTACTGTCTCCACGGTAGTCTGGATCAGATAAGCTCTATGACAATAAGACTATTTTATAATTTTTACAAACTTAAATGCCCCCCTGCAAATATTGATGGTTTATGAAATAGAGACAAATAACTGGAATTTTATGTACTTTTATGTTCTCTGAAGAATCACCCAGTGTTTCTACATTTCCTTCTTCTTTAAAATATATATGTATCTATATCTATATATATATAATTTATTTATTTATTTATGCATGCAAGAACTGGGGTACAGGCCAAAGGTGCAAGGGGTGAGAAGATTCATCAACGACAGAGTAGGGAGCAGCGGGTGAGACAGGAAAGGTCTGATGTGCCATGTGGGTCAGCTCTCTGGCAGGGGATTGAACTCCTGCTGCAGTGGTTGATAATTTTTTGATGGCACTGAGACTTTAACTGCTGTGCCACCAGACAGGCCTTGGCTCTACATTTCTAACTCTTCTTCTTCCAAGTATTCTGACATGGCTAAGTACTAATATGGAAGCAAAATAAAGAGCCCACAGTGTGAGATGAATCAAAATTGAAGGCAGGAATTGAATTAAGATTTCTCAATCAAACTTTTACTGAACAAACGCCCTCATGGGACTTTTATTTCTAAATAATAACAAATACTTGTAAGAGGAAGGAAATTTCCAAGTACGCTCTTACAAACAAGAGCAAAATAGATGACTATAGCAGAAAAGATGGCTTCAAAAATCAGAGGAGAAACAAAAATGTAAAAGAGAAGTACAGGAAATTTGTGGTGACTAAGCCAAATCTACCTTCTCCAGTCTTTACACCATACTAAGAGCTTAGAAGAATTTTAGTACTTTACTTTTTCCTTTAAAAGTATGCCACACAGGATCTTCCCTGGTGGCACAAGGTTAAGTCTCAGTTCTGTCAAGCTGTTGCCAGCCACTGCAGTATGAGTTTGACCCCTGGCCAGGGAGCTGACCCACATGGCACAGCAAACCTCTTCTGTCTTGCCCACTGCTCTTCTCAGCAGTGTACTTCAGTACATCTGCCTGTCTGCTCCCCACTCTGTTACTGGTGAATACTCTCACCCCTGCACCTCTAGCCTATACCCCAGCTCTTGTATGCATAAATGAATAAAATAAATCTTAAAAATAAAAAAGTATGCCTTATAAGCCTTTTGTAAGGGAGAACACAAAAAGTATCTTGTCTCTAAGAACACAAATTTAGGGCATCTGAGCTATATCATTTTTTCTTTTCTTTTTTATTTAACTTTTACCATTTTGCTTGATTTTCACTGAGAGTGCTTCAGAGAAAAGGACATTACTTTTCAGGGTAAGGTGGGCTTTAACTAGATAACTAAATGAATGATTAAGACTAAACTGGCTTCTCCACCCCCAGTTGTTGCTACTACATTTAACCATCACTTATCGCGTTCAACCTTCATCCCAGGGAATTTCACACACCTAGGTGAATGTATATTATCTAATGTCATCTTCTGGTTTTCAACAATATTTAGAAATTTAACCTTCATTTGTTGTTTCATATTACCACAAATCAGTAAAGACACTCAGTCTCAGCTTTTCTAGTAAAGAGCATCCAGTGACCTGAAACTCTTTTAAAAACATAATCACAAGAAAGCAGAGTGACAAGAGGAAAATTCCTATAAGAATAATTTAACAAAAAGTTAACTAAGCAGAATTCCCATCCTCTGACGCCCAACTTGAATAATGAACAAAAGATGGTAAGCTACTGGGAAAGCAAAACAAAAAAATCTGGGTACAACAAAAGCAACCCACAGAACCATCCAATTTCTAGGGCTTGCAGTTCAAAGGGTGGCCCTGGACCAAACCAGGGGCATCTGCATCCCTGAAAGCTTGCCAAACAAACAGATCTCAGGGGCACAGCCAGACCCTGGGGTCACACAGACCCACGCTGCAGTTTGAGAAGCACTGCTTCAGGGGCTGGAGGATTGTATTTCTAAATAAAAAGAACAATTAAGGCGGCTCCCTGGTGGCTTAAGGGTTAAGTCTCAGCACTATCACCACCATGGCCTGACTTCAATCCTAGCCAGGGAGCAAATCTACATACAGTAGGCTTCTGTCTTGCCCACTGCTCCCCTCAAAGGTGTATTTCAGTCTGTTCTGCTCCTCACTCTGTCTCTGGTGAAGTCTCTCACTCCCCTCCTCACCCCCACCTCTGGCCTATACCCCAGTTCTTCTACGCAAACAAGAAAAAAAACCATTAAGGCCTTAGGTGAAGAAATGTAGGAAAGAGAATGGCATATGGAGTAAAATTATATAGCTGGAACATACTTATTAAAGCATTGCAGCTGACCAAAGCACCACTAAGCTCTAAAGGTAATGCTTACTAAATACCCATGTTCACTACTGAAGCCCTTCATTCATTTTATACTGGAAAACTCCATTCCTGCCTTGGGTCTGTTAAGAACCTCCAAGTGCAATAAGCCATGACATTCTTATGTCTTTAGAACTTCAGATGGGGATGCCTGTGAAACCAATTTTTAACTTTAAAAAAGTCCTGCTCTTCTCTGCCACACTCATGTATTATGTTATTAGTTCCTTACCATATACTGAATAAAATGACCTATTTCCTTTTTTCCCTCCAAAATAAGGATGTGGGGAGTACCTAGAAGTTTATTGCCCCACATGAAAAGGGAGATTACTAGAAGGAACACTTATTAAAAGTTACCTTAGGGAAAAAAAAAGTATAATGGCTTAGTTTTTTGATTCTATATATTTTTATAAAGATCTTGGAAGTCCTAAGAGGTTGAGTCCATCCGAATCAAAAGAAGCCGAGGTACTCAGTGCCTATGAAACTTCCAATCCCATGCTAACTCTTCTTGTATAATATTTCCTCAAACAAAAAATTAATACAAGAACATTGTTTACTCTAATCCATCACTGTCTCCCAAAGTACAATGACATTAAGCTACCATGTCATCCCTGATTAAATTCTACTAAACTATCTGTAATATAGTAATCAGTTTAAAGAAATTCACTATTTTAATAACTGTGAACAATTATTCTCTGGTTCACATCTTCTGTCATTCTCCTGAGGATGTCACAGAGTGATCTTCCATGAAGGAAAAGCATTACTAACATGCTTGCTGACCTACATAGGTCAGTGAAGTTGCAACAAAAGTTGTAGGTAAACAAAGGTAGCCATGAGCTTCTCAGCAATATCCCTAGATTTTTAAGTAACAGAAAACCATTTCTATATGGAATAATGGGCACATAACTATGGAGCAAAATGCACAGTAAAAAAATGCTCATGAAAGACCTCATGTAAATATTAAATATAATCGATCACACAAAGGAAACCACTCACGTGAGGGGAATAGCGTTTGTTTTTGACTGTCTTCTGCTTTTCAGAGCACGAAGTCTATCACCTTGAGTCACTCGGTTGATTTCGTCGTCATCGCTGTACTGTGCAAGTAAAAAAATACTGAGCTAATGATTTAAGTTGCATATATTTATTCAGTAAAGCATAGGAACTATATTTATTCACACGTATATAGATGTATATATTTTAGAGTTCTGCTGAACTCTAAATAAATATTTTGCTCCTTTCAAAATAAACCTAGGTCACATTTCAAGATAACTACAAATTGACTTGCACAAGCACAAAACACACTATCACTTGTCATAAAACATACTGATAAGGAAGAGACATAATGGGTTTTCAGTATTGAAAATATTCTTTTAAATTTCACAATTTACTTACCACCACTTAATATAGTACTCCTATCACCCTAAGCTCTTGGCTTTAAAGTTCTCCATTTGAGAAGGACTGATTCCCTAAATCAATTGTCACAAGATAAGAAAAAGTTGGTGGGGTAGAGAGAGAAACTAGGTCAAGCTAAAAAAGTTACTACACATACCTCTTTTTCCACTAGCGCCTAGAATACATTAAAACAAAAACAACTTTTGACTATGGACACATAACCTGCTTCTAAATATTATAAAATAAAAAGGTGCTAAAGAGGGCTTACGTGTAAAAAAAAATGTGTGACGATAATCCCCCAAAATGTGCTTTTATTACTTTTATCTACAATTGTCTCCATGTCCTCAAAGGTTCTCAACAGCATTTAAAGCAATGACAAAAGCATGATGAGGATGGTTCGATTACCAGTTCAGTTTCGTGCTTGTCTTGGTTTTCAATCCCATTAATGGAAATGTCATCAACAGCCAGGAGGAGTTTTGAGACAGCTGCTCTGTGTTTTCCATTCTTCTGACTCTTTAACTTTTGACGAAAATAGTCACCTTCCAACCAGAGGCTTGCCTGTTTCCTACAGTGTTTAAATGATATCAAAATACATCCTTCCAGAAAGATACATGCCAATTTCTCCTACAGCATGATCTATTGTTACTCGTGACTAAGTGTAGTTCCCAATCACTGTCCAGACCCGTGTATTCCCTAAAGAATAACAGAAGCTCTCTACTTACATAACCAAAAATTGTTGCTGAGGCCCAATCACTGAGCCAGGTCTACAGATTCTGACCCAAGCAATGGTCTCAGCTGCTGTCATCCTGTAGTGCTTCATCATGTAGCAGGCTATTAGAGTGCCTGTTCGTCCAAGGCCAGCTAAGAAAAGAAACAAACCAATGAGACCTACCCTCACGGCCTCTCAAATGTTATTGTGCAGACTACTTTTAAAGGTTTTCCATCATTCTGCTTCCCTCAACACAGGTTCTCAAGTTTGAATGTGCACTGCCAACAGCCAGAGTTCTTAAAAATATGGGCTCTCACCACCAAAATTCTAATTTAAATGGTATGTGATGTCGTGTGCACAATTCTGAAATCTCCAAGATGATTCTATGTACAGTTAAGACTGGGCATCACTCTTAGTAAACAGTGTTTTCTACTCTGGTTTTTTCTGTTAACTGTACCATCGCTTTTTGGCAGTGGTATCAAAAACACAGGTTAAAAATCCTGCACTTGGGCCCTCCCTGGTGGCGCAGCTGGTTAATGCACAGCACTAAGAAGCTAAAGCCACTTCAGCATGAGTTCCATTCTCACCCACCCCAGAGGTGATCCACATGGCATGGCAGACCTCTCCTGACCCTCTCACTGTTCCCCTCAGCAGTGTTACTGTCCTCAGTCAGCATCTTCTGCTCCCCACAGTCTCTGGTGAATCCTCTTGCCACCCCTGTACCCCGGTTATGTATGCATAAAAAAATAAATCTTAAAAAAAAAAATCCTGCACTTTCCAATCTATTTTTTTCTCCTCTACTTTCATATTTTTACACAGATTTTTGTAGTTCCGTTGCTCTCCTTTACTCTCATACAGACTTCTATCATAATCTCCTACCACTGTTAATTTTTTTTTAAATATTTATTTATTTATGCATACAGAACCAGGGTACAGGACAGAGGCTCAGGGGCGGTGAGAAGCTTCACCAGAGACAGAGTGGGGAGCAGAACAGGCAGATCGACGAAGTACACTGCTGAGGGGAGCAGCGGGCGGGTCAGGAGAGGTCTGCCGCGCCATGTGGTCACCTCCGGGGCAGGCGGAAATCGAACTCATGCAGAACTGGCTTTAGCTTCTTAGTGCTGTGCTTAACCCGCTGCGCCACCAGGAAGGGCCACCTACCACTGTTAATTTTACAGTCAGGTATATTTAGATGAGACTGACAAACTGGAGGACTCTGAGTAATCAGCCTGCACTCCACATGTTGGTGGGACTCCCCCAATCAGGTGAAGGTGTGCGCAGAACAAAAAGACTGGCCTCCCTGAGCTACAGGAATTCTTCAGCAGAGAGCTTTTGCACTTCCCCATTTGTTCTCCTACCAGAACAAACTAAATCTCTCTCTGACTCTGCCTCTATCACCTCTGGAACATTCTCGTTAGCACAGAATTTGGTACCATGAAATGGCATGTTACTATAACAATATGTAAAAGAGCGGAAGTGGCTTTGGAATTAGGACTGTAAAGTGTGGAAGAGAGTTCTGAAGCACAATAGGGAAAAACCCTATACTGGCCTGAAGGGACTATTGGTGGGGATGTGAATCTAAATTCCCAGGGTTGGTGGTGGTCCTCATGTGCATTCAGATGAAAATGCGGAATCCACTGGAAATTGGGGGGCGGGGGGGGGGGAGGAGAAGAAGTGGAGGGAAAGTATTAGAAAGTGACCAAAAAATAGACTTAATTGTGTGGGACAGTTTTGTGAAAGGTTTATCTTGTAGATGACAGACTTAGTTTGAGGGTATAGTTTGGCTTGTCCCTATTGATGATGGCAAAATGTGAGGAGAGAAAGATGAATTTAAAGAGGAATCTGAAACTAAACATTTAGAAATGCTAGGCCTATCTACACTGCAGAAAGCAAGAAGGCATTTTCTGAAGAGAACATCAAAGGTGTGGTCAGAAATCAAATCCATAAAGAGATTACCCGTACAGTTAATCAGTCATCTCAGCAGAAGCCAAAAATAGTGGTGGGATTACCCCTGCCAACACTTTGCCAGGTTAAGTTAAAGGGGACAGACACAAGACAAAATAAAGGAAGACCTCTGGGTTTCTGGGATTCTAATGGACTGAGAATTGAGGCTTCTAGCTGCAAACATACCTCAAACTTCAAGAAAAGGACAGCAAGATCCAGAATAATGTGTGCTCTGAACTGGTGGGCAAGTGTTCTTAACATGTGTTAGATGTGCTTGGTGTACTGTGTTGTTCAAGTCCTCTATTATTTATCTTCTGTTTCACTGTTCCATTCATTATGGGATACTGTTCCATTCAAAATGGGATACTGAAATTTTCCACTATTACTGTATAAATTTCTCTCTCCCTTTAATTCTGTCAAATTTTCCTTCATATATTTTATTGTTCTAAAGATTTAATTTATGCATACAAGAACTGGGGCATAGGCTAAGGTGTGGGGGGGAGGAGGATTCACCAGAGACAAAGTGGGGACAGAACAAGGAGATGTACTGAAATACACTGCTGAGGGGAGCAGCGGGCCAGACAGCAGAGGTCAGCTGTGCCATGTGGGTCAGCTCCCTGGCAGGCTGGCTGGGGACTGAACTGCTCCAGTGGTGGGCAACAGCCTGGTAGTGCTGTCTTTTAACCCCTGCACTACCAAGGGGGCCCCCATCCTTCATATATTATAAAGGTTGGCTAGTAGGCACGTAAATGTTTGTAAGTATCATCTTGCTGTGCTGAATCTTCTGTTACTGTATAATGCCCCCTTTTTGTCCTGTGTAATTTTTCTTAAAAGTGTATTTTTGAAGAGCACAAAGCAAAGGTGCATGGGTGAACTGGTGTTGGGAATTATACAGGGACTATACCTGTGGGGAGAAAGCATACACTGCTCAATAAGGAAGGGTGATGTAAAATACATGAAAATAAAAATAATGAAGTCTAATTTTGTCTGTTATTAGTGTAATCACCTCTGCTCCCTTTTGGTTACTATTTACATGAAACCTTTCTCCCTATCTTTTTACTTTCAACCTATTTGTCCTTGTTTCTAAACTAAATCTCTTTTAGATACCAAAGACTGGATTATTATTTTTAAATCACTTAGCAATCTCACCTTTTGACTGGAGAATTTACAACTGAGGTTACAACAATGCCAGCCTTTCCCAGAGACCCTGTTTCTTCATAAAGCTTTGCATGACTGTCCAGTATCCTTTAGTTCACACTACTATTTCTTACAAGGCAGACCCTATGGTAGCAAATTTCCCTCCAATTTTAGCTATCTGGGACTGTCTTAATTCCTCATTTTTCAGAGACACTTTCGCTGGACATAAGATCTGTGACTGATGGCACAGGGGTGAATTGGTGGTAGGAAGCCCAGAGGGATTACAACTGAGATGGGAAAAGGTATAAAATGATGTAAAAATAAGCTATTAGTTTTTTTTAATTAATATAAAAAAATATCTGTGACTGACTGTTACTTTCCTTCAGCAGTGGATTCATCAGCCCATTGCCTGCTGGTCTCCAGGTATCTAATGAGAAATCTGCTAATAACTGTATTTGTATATAGTAAAGCTGATTTTGTCTTAATGCTTTTAAGATTCTCTTGAACTCTGATTTTAGACTGATTAATCATAATATGCCATGTTGTAAGTCTCTAAATTTGCCCTGATTGCAGTTCTCTGATGTTACAATTCATATCTTTTGTCATATTTTGGAAAGGTTCAGCCATTACTTCAAATAATCTCTTTGCTACCTTTTCTTCCTTCTCCCACTCAGAATTCCCCCAACCCACACACAATGGTCCCATTTATGGTGTCCCAGAGGTGAATGAGGCTAAGTACACTTTTCAGCCTTTTTACTTTCGGTTCCTCAGAATTGATCAGGTAAATGGTCCCATCTTAAAGTTTGCAGAATCTATTTTCTGCTTGCTTGAATTTCTCCAGTAAACTTTTCATTTCAGTCATTATATATTTCAGAATTTCTTTTTGATGGCCTTTTTTGTGTTTTCTATGTCTCTATTGATATTTTCATTTTTTTCAGTTTTCTTGACTGTCCACATTTTCTCTTAGCTCCTTGTGTATCACTATATGGTTGTTTTAATGTCTTTGTATAGTAAGTTAACCATTTAGTCTTTTTTCAGGGACAGTTTCTGTTTATTCCTTCTTGTTCCCGTGAATGAGCTCTACTTTGTTTCCTGTCTTATGATGTTTTTGGCGAAAACTGGACAATTTAATAATATGGTAACCTAGGAGACTAGATTTTGGCTATACTCTAAGTTTGCAATTTTTGTTTTTTTTCTGCAATGTTACATTTTTCATAACAAAAATATGTTCCTTGTCTTCTTAATTATCCAAGAAAAGGAGAAAAGCTAAATGGGTCCTAGCACATTTACATAATGTACATACATTGCATTTAGTCAACAAATATTTATTAAGTGATAGTCACTGTTCCAACTGTAGAAAGATTAGCAACTTAATAGAATATAAGGCCACAAAGCTCTTGGGAGTGTGTTCTGGTCATTGACATAGGCTAAAACCTACTAACCAGTAGGCAGTGAATAGATATTTGATGACTAAATGAATGCATTTTAACATGGTAAAATTTGGAGTTACCTATGAATCCAATTTAATTTGCTATACTTTTCATAGGAAACTAGATTCTTAAAAAGATTCTTTATATATTACTGCTATTTAATATCAATCATACCTCAAGTGATTTTAATAAAAAGGCTTGCAAGAAAATAAAAGGCATTCTTTTAAAAACCAACACAGCTCACATGTCCTTTGCAGCAACATGGATGGAGCTGGAAGGGATCATGCTTAGTGAAATAAGCTAGAAAGAAAAGGAAAAATACCAGATGGTTTCACTCATAGCAGGAGTATAACGGGCCAGGTGAGGAAATAATAATAATAATGAATAGTTATATATCAGAGACAATTTATGGGGGTGGAATGGGGAATGGGATCAAAAAACAGTTGGGGGAGGGAAATGCACTGGACCATGGTGATGGCACATGGGTGATTTGGTGATGGGAAGCCCAAGGGGATTACAACTGAGGTAACTGAGATGGAAAAAACGCACAAAATGATGTAAAAATAAACTATTATATTACTTTTAAAAAACCAACACAGTTTAGTAGTCCTGGCATAAAGTTAAATGAGCATGGTTATGTTTGTACATATCTACATACATGTCCTCTGTTTTTTAACCGACCCAGGAAACATACCTTTACAATGTACTGCAATAGCACCCTCGGCATTCTCACAAATATTCAGAAATTCTCGGAGTATGGCATCACTGGGGGTGCTGCCATCCGCAAAGAAAAGGTCATAGTGATCGAAACCAGCATTCGTAAAGCGTTTGGCATCATACATCCTCTTATTCAGACGAATAATGGTAGTAACATTGTGATGCTTAAAATATGAAATATAGGTCTCAGGAGAATGTTGGTGGTAACCTACATAAAGAAATTCACCAGATATTGTAAAAGCAGAAAGAAAACAACAGGTAACCATTTCACCTGTAACTGGGTAAAAACAGTTTCTGGACTGGGGACTGAATATCAATTTGATTGTATCTGTAAAAAAGTTCATTAAAAAAGTTAAAATCCAGGCAACAATAACAAGCTAAAATGACCAAGTTTACCTAAATAATTAACAATCAACAAAACCATGCTGGTTTCATATTTTAGACATACCGCTTTCAAGCTTTGTTCTTGAGTGAGGCCCACAAAAGGCAATAAATAGATCTGGTATTATCCAATTAAAATCTCCATTTTCTGCTTTCTGTAAAGAGAAGACCAGCACAAACTCAATTTTTGGACTCAATTTCCTCCCTACTCTTCTCTTCAATATTGACTGCCCATAGAACTTCAAATCCACTTGTATTAATATAAAGTTGCTTTTAAATGACTGTGAGAAAGAGCCTGGAATTTGAACTACTATGAATATTTCCAGGGAACCATTAGTTAATGTCTCCTGGCTCTAAGCACTTTATTTCAAAACCTTCCTTTCTTTTGTCACAGATGAATCATAGTCTTTTAACTTTTTTTTTTTTTTTTTTTTTTTGGCGAGGGTAGTCAGCCTTCAGAAAGTACAGCTGACTATTACTATTTAAAAAATAACTAAGGGTCCTCCCTAGTGGCGTAATGATTATTTCATCTGAGTAAATTCTCACTTAGTTGCGGCTAATTAGTAAGCAAGTTTTTCTAAACTGAGGGATCTTGAAATCCCCATTTTCCAGAATGATGTATTAGTTCTGATTATGAGCAACATCGACTCCTTGAACAAAGAAAAAACTAAATTCTTAGCTTCTCAATATTTACTTTTTCTTTCTGGAGAGGCATGTCTTATCATTTTGTGAATTATTAAATAAAAGGTCCACCGAAAAAATTTCAGTAAGCCCTCCAAGGAAATTCAAATCACGAGGTACTGAGTGCTCAGGAAAAAAATGAAAATAAATTGAAATTTAAAACACTTATTTCCCGGTAAATCCTTTGAATTGAATTACCAAGCAATTATAAGATAAATACAGTTCAAATTTAACAATAGAAGTGAATAAAGACTTAGGCAGGAAATAGGAGACACCTGACAGTGGAGGAGAGAACTGATGATAAAAACAAGATCAATAGCTCTAAAACTGTCGTCTGTATATGTGTGCCTAACAAGTAAGAAACAGATGGAAAGAAAACCATCAAGGGTCACACAGGTGATCCCAAACCTATTAATTGTCAGTGAGAAAAATATTGAGGCCCTGGTTCAAAGCTAAAAGGCATAAGCAGGAGTGAGGCTATTTTACCAGATGTTCTGATTTTGAAAAGAAACCAGAAATCTGGAGTTTTTAATGAGCAACTTGAGATTAAATTTCATGAAACTGCAGGCATCAATTAGGTGCATCCTGAATGCTAAGAAATTAGAACAGGAAAAAAATGGGTGACACAGTATCAAAAACACTAACCCAAAGTGTCTCACGTTACTATAATGAATTTCATCTGTGAGGTGCCCGTGGTCTAGAGCTGTCAGCGCCCTGCGCCTTAGTGTAGTAAATGACAAGGGTTGGGTGCTCTTGCTACACTACTCCCCAACGCTGCAATTTATGCAATTAGTGAGGGAGCTAATTAGTGCCTATATTATTCCCTAGTGACACAAAATGGTATCACTGTGCGTCAATGAAGGAATAGCAACTGGTGTTTTATTGGTTTTGTTTGCTGAGGAACAGAAAATATATATTATATTCAATATGTTGGTCAATAAATATACATTAGGACTTTAGCAATGCATTACTGTTACAGGAGAAGTAAAGACAGGGTTTGCCTTAATTAACCACACAATATGCTTTTACACCTTTGGTATAAGACAGTAATGACTGATAGTAACGATTAACCCAATTTATCAATAAAACAGTTGTCATACCTAAGAGTTAAAATAAATTACTTTCACTGACTGTGAAAGCACAGTTAGCTTTCAACATATTGCGGCACAGAGGGCTGTCTGGGGAATCACTCATTATTAATGAGATCATTACTCAGGACAACTACAGTACGGTAAGATTCCACAAGTACTCTTGTGGAAAAGGACCTTTAGCATAATATCTTACTGGTTATCTTCTTGGAGGATAAAATAGTAGAAACAAATTATATATTCTTTAAAAAAAAATGCATTGTGTTAAAAAATATAAGAGGGCATCTGTGGTTTTGCCTACCTAACCTTTTTTCTTTTTGGTCTGTATGGTTTGATGAAGCTAACCCCAGCACTCCAGTCGTGGGGGTGACTGGCCAGAGAGAGGAGTGTGGGCCTTCTGCTGAAACCACGAATGCTCTTTTCTGATGAGCAATGCTAACTTCATAGAAACAAGAGGTTATGGTAAATAACAGGGATTTTTCTGAGGGTTAACGTGACGATTTATTCATCTTATTAGATACTATGCATGCTAAGGATTTGGCAAAGATCTTTTCCTTTAATCATTATATGAAAACTCATCAACATTAAAAGAATTTCAACCCCACATTGAAGAAAAATGTCCAGAACAGCTTAAGTACTCTGGAAGTACTTAAGCATCAAATACGGAAATGGCAGCTAAGAAACGGAGATAAGAGGGCAAAAACCACTTTGTACACATCTGAATCGTTCATATTGCAGTGTGCAGGAAATTACTTAAGTAAAATATTAAGAAAACAGTTATTAAAATAATATCCTGCAAAACTTACCTCATAGTATTCATATTCATCAAGATTAAATGAGTTGAAGTTAAGGAAGCCATATAACATTGCCTAAAATCCAAATGAAATTTTTTAAGAACAAAGATGCAAATAAGGTAACAATTCCCAATCCCACCCACTAATAATAAAAATCACGAAGTGTCCCACAGAAAAGCACTACTATATACAGAGTGTGTTCCATTAAATCCTTTTAAAAGGAGGTAGGTTAAATCCATTAAATGCTTCCATTGTCTGGAAAATTAGTTATCAACAAGTTACTATAATGAGATTTGATTTTTTTTTTACTGGCTTTGACAATCATCCTATGCTATACAGCTAAATAATCAAGACTTTAATGTAATCTACTAACTTATTAGAACAGTTCACCACTCAGGCTTCAAATAAAAAATATACAACCTAATGGTCCCTAAATTAATAAAGAGTAAAGGAACTATAGATTGGTTAGTTTATTCCAAATAAATCCCACATACTTCATAAATGTTTCACTTTCAAATTCTTCTGAATTTGAGATTCAGAATTAAGAAATTCTTAAAAGAGGTTAATATTCTTTACACTAAAGCTAGCCCAGAAAAAAAATTCATGAAAAAAAAAGTAAATTTTCTGCTTTATCCTGTGGCCTTGCTGTGAGCAGCAGTGGGCAGAGCATACTAATCAAAATAAACAGTATTTTCTAAGGCAAGGACAAGCTGGCTACCTCAGAGAAGTGTTCTCCCTGCCCACTGATCACTGAGCAAACAGAATGTAAGTAAGAATTCATGGTCAACAAGTTATTTTTCAAAAGGAATGCTCTATAAACCTAGTTTTTAAAATTTAAACTACTTAAGTATGATTGAAAAATAAAGTATCAAACCAAAGAAGTCCATAATTTATGAAATATTTAAACTAGTCTTAAGGCCAAATCCAAGATGAATTTTATTTCTTTGAATTCAAATTGCACAGTATCTGTCAACAGATTAGGGCTAGAGAAAGTCCTAACAGATTGATGTTAAGCTGTAGCTAACACACAATTTCCAGTCTCCTCTGACTTCATAAGGATAGCTTACTAGCAGTATCTAAAATTAAAGACAATTACATTTATAAATGTTTTATATATGTAATAATAAAAATCAGTCACAAAAAAATGTTTACACTGTTGACTCGAATAAAACTAAACACAGAATGGAAAAAAGCAATTTTTATCTATAATACTCACTCATTAGACTTTGGATATAGTATCTTGATTTTAAAAAATATATTAAGCCCAAAAACTAACAATAGAAACTATAGAATGTTATAGTAGGTCATTTCAAGGTTCTCAAAATTTTTCTTCTTTTCTCAAAGGTGGTTGTGTGGACATAACGTGCCAACCTTCATTAGCAGTACCTTGGGCACCATCTGACAGAGACTATAACTACAACTGGATTGGGGGAGGGGGCAGGGGTGTCATTATACCCTGTGTCTGTGGCCGGTACCTGCCTAAAATCAGACTTTTGATGGAGCTGGCCCAGGGCCTATGGCACTATCTCAATTAGCTCCACACATTACAGTCATTGAACTCAAACCCAAAAACATTAAGTTCTGAACCTCACTGCCCAATATGTGGAAAAACAGCTTACTAATTAATTTTTGAATCTGTGTAATAATTAGTCCTCTCACTTTGATCCATAGCATTTCTATAAAAAATTCTCAAAAAGTTACAAATTTCAGTAAACCTTTTCTTTTGCCTCTGAAAATATGTCACATATAAAACAAGATATTTAAGATTTATTTGATACATGACCCAATTTACAATTCTATATTTTTGTTGTTGCTGACATTTAAGAAGTACGTATACCTGAGGGAGTAAGAGTTATAACCAGGGTCTGCTGCGCCATGTCACCCCAGGGGGCCCGGATCACTTGGAATATGACATCGAGGCTGTCCCCTGGAGTCAAGACAGCAAGCAGTCCTGCTTATAAAACACAAGTTATTTTAAAATAGCCTTGAAAGGGCAGTAGTGATGCTACTTAGTTTTATAAAAACCTAGTAACAAACCAGTAGACTTTTCAAATTCTGCTGAACTAGACATTGAATACTTAAAAAGATACAAAATTGAAGTGTTTGATAGCTACCAAGTTGTAGAAATGTCTGTTATAAATAGTATTTGTGGGATTCTGATCCATAAAATACATAAATCAAAGAGAACTTGGAAACCAGTAATCTAGTTACCTTTTTTGTTTTCCTTTGAAATCACAACACACTCAAAACCAGTTTGAGATTTAGAACCCAATTCCATAAATGGGCCTTGTTGCTGGACTTTCCCCTTCTACTATGCAGAGAACACTTTAAGAGTCAACCATGTTTTGGGTTGGGGTCACTCTAACACTAATGGGGAAATGCTCACACACATCTTGGAAGATCTTAGGGAAGTCTTCCCAGGACGGTACTTCAAGTTCTTGAGCACAACACTGGCAACATCCAATGAGTCACTTACCTTCTTCACTGCATGAAAACAGTCAAGAAGCGTAATGTAGAAATTGCAGCTCCCATAGGCAGCATCTCTGAAATCCCAAAAGCATTGAAATCCATAGCTTAGTTAATTTAATCTTCTATAGTACACTTAATTCAAGATAAATCTGCCTGGAAATTAAAATTTAATACACACTTAGAACCCAAGCACCCCCCCCCCAAAAAGGAAAAGAAATCCCACATTTAGTTTTTAAATAAAGGATAATAAGTCACAGTTGTAAATTTCATACTGCTTTATATCAATAACGACCACTTCCTTAAGCTCAAATGGTCTCGTGAAATCATTTTTTGATTTTGATGGCTGAGCTCCACAAGTTCCTTTTTGAGTTCAATTAATCAATAATCTGTAGACCTATCACAAAGGACAAAAGAACTTTGTCTTCAAACTGGAAAATGTCATGTTAAAATATTTACCAGAAGAAACTGCTACTTATTGTGTATCTATCTCCCAGTAGAAAAATGTATTGGGAAAATGTAAGGTCATAATTAGTAAAATTTTTAAAAAAAGCATTTGTTCCTCTCATCATACTTTCACAATTTTTAACCTAAAGTGGGTAACTTCCTTCTGATTCTTAAAGAACAGTAAAAGCATTTGAGATACGAGTCAACCACCTTTAGCAAAATCATTCTATACTTCAAAATGTATTTCTGTTATAAACAATTTCACCCAACTTTGCATCAACATCTACCATTAGTCATACTGAGAATCTCTTAAACTCAATTCTTTGTCCAGAAAAATAGGCACTTCACTCGTACCTGCTTTTTCCTAGCTACCTTGAGTTTTTTATAAAGTGAAATTTTTTAGTTAAGCGAGATAAAAATTTAATTATGACAATGCTCATCATGCCAAACAATTAAGCGTATCTGAATGAACACACTAATTTTTTCCCGAGGTAGAAACAGGTTGACACTGGAGCCATCTTCAATTGCCAGCCTTATTTGGATTTTCACAGTGTTGTATTGCTTTAAAAATTAAAGTACACATTTAAAAATTTTAATTCTCTCACAAATCTTAGAATACATACTATTAAACATACTAACAACAAGGAAATTAAGAGTAACCCATTCAGCTAAAAGAGTTTTAGGAATTACAGAATTGGCTCCAAGTATGGAGATGCATTATAGCATACCTTATTTGTTCTCTAAGCTTTTGAATATAAAAATTTGCTTTCCTAAAAGTGGAAAAAATCTCTAGCCAACCTAGAAGATAGTGATTTAAAAAATATATATATTACCAATTTTCAGGAAGGAGAAATGCAAAATGACCCACAGCAATAGTGTCTCCTGGGTAAGCAGCATCAGTATCACCAGAGGTCAGAAACCCCAGTTCTCAGGCTCTATCACAGCCCTACTGAGTCAGAAGAAGTTCTAGGAGTAGAGCCAGGTAATTTTTGTTCTAACAGATATTCAAGGTCATAGTGATTGATGTATGCTCAAACTTAAGAAAAACACAAATAATTGCTTTGTAGAAATATTTTTTTCCTGGAATAAAAGAACATTTTGTATTGATGTTCAGGTGAAAAGAAGATGCAGTCTGGCATAGGGCTAAGATCAAACTGTCAGTGGGAAAAGGGTAAATTCTCAAAAAGCATCCCAATGTTTTTAACCAAGTCTCCTCACTTAGCTGGTAATTCTTTTCCAATCAAGTTAAAGGCCTGTGACTTCATTTTTGCAGTATCTTGATGCATTTATTCTGTGAGTAATTTTTTGAAAATTTACTGATGAGGGTTGAGCCCTACTCTTATCCATGATGGTACTACAAGCTTTGGCCTAGGCCTGGGTGAAGTTCTTCTTTTATACATCATACTATTTGAATAGACAACAAAAATCTTTCTTCACTGGTTCATATTTGTTTCATTAACACCTCCAACTTGAAACCCACCTACACCTCTTTCCTCTACCCAAGCAATTAAGCTGCTTCAAAATGAAGAGCAAAGGCTATAAATCGGGATATGTGAGCCTGTGGGGGGCAAGGTAGGAGGGGTTGTGATTAAGATCATTTAACAAACTTGGAAACACAGATGAGAATCAATGAAGGCATACTGCTTGGAAACTGCAAAACAATCTGAAGCCCTAGTTTAAAAAATAACAGCTTTCACAGCAGTTCATATTCACAATAGCCAGGAGGCACAAATTACCCCAAGTATCCATCAAAAGGACAAAAGACAAATAATGGTATATTCATAGAATGGAATGCTACAAAGACAATGAAAAAGGGTGAACTAGTGATACTTGGTACAACAACATAGATAAATCCGAAAAGCTAGGTCCCACCCAGATTTCCATAACTCATACATGATACTATTTAGAGGAAGCTCAAAGGGAAGAAAAACTAACTGCTGGTGGTAGAAGCACAGCACTAGGGACCTGAGGTGAAAGGAATGTTCAGGGGTACCAAGGAGGAAAAGACTATTGCATTTTTTTTTTCCAAAGTATGATCAAGCTTTATTAATTCTGACTGGCTTACCTTCCAATTAGAAATCTAGTTCCAGGGAAAAGTAAAATGCTAAACATCCTACAATGCTCTGCACAGCCCCTCTGAACAAAATGCCAATGGAGTCACTACTGAGTTACCTAGGTACTAACACCTACACTCCCATAAAACTGTCATCCTAAATTGACTATTCATACGGTCTTTTTCCAGAAACATACACCAAGATACTTGAGACAAGGACCTGATTAAATGAATCTACCACATAATTTTTATATTTACCTGAAAGGAATATAGGATGTATCTCCAAACATTAATATTCTATATGCTTCTTCTGGAGACCTCCCCAAGTATATAACCTACATTTGAAAAGAGAAGACAACAATTTACTTTTAAATGAAGACATGGTGTTATCACTGTTAAGTTCTGCACAATTTCTGGCCAATAAACTGAGTTGGTCCTCCAACTTTCCCAGGAAGGCTGAGTCACCATCAACAGCCTGTCAGTGAATTCCTTTTTTGTCTAAATCTGCCGTAGCTGATTTCCACTGCATGCAACAAGAGTCCTGCCCCACAACTTTTCACAACAATGTTTTGTAGTAAGTACATTTTAAAAATAGATTTGCTAAATCAAGATGTTACACTGAACACATATTTTACTAATCTCCTTACCCCAAATTCACTGGAGTGATGGTAAGGAAGTGTGTGTTGGGGGTGGGTGGGTGGGATGAGGAGGGCAGGGACACAAAAGCAGAGCTAACATGTTTGTGAGTTCCATTCACTTAGATTTAACTACTTATCATCACACTATACAGGTTTCCTATGGAACTGTGTGTGTTTGTTGTTCTCATCTGCTTCTTTTATCTTCAAAACTATGTCATGTGTCAAATGTCATCTGGAGAACATATATGTGTGTTTAAAAGATTTATTTATTCATTCATACAGAACTGCTGAGGTACAGGCCAGAAATGCAGAGGATGAGAGGATTTACCAGGGACAGTGTGGGGAGCAGAAGAGGCAGATCTAGGACGTACACTGTTGAGGGGAGCAGCGGGCGGGTCAGGAGAGGTCTGTCCCGCCATGTGGTCACCTCTGGGGCAAGAGGGGATCGAACTCATGCAGAAGTGGCTTAAGCTTCTTAGTGCAGTGCTTTAACCCACTGCGCCACCAGGGAGGGCCACATAATATATATTTTTAAGAAGATTTATTTATTTATGCATATAGAACTGGGGTACAGGCCAGAGGTGCAGGGGCATGAGAGTTTTCACCAGAGACAATGGAGAGCAGAACAGGCCGACTGGCGAGTACACTGCTGAGAGCAGCAGTGGGCAGGTGAGGAGGTCTGCCGAGCCATGTGGATCACCTCCGGGACCGGGATCAAACTCGTGCTGAAGTGGCTTTAGCTTCTTACTGCTGTGCTTTAACCCACTGCGCCACCAGGGAGGGCCCGAGAACATATATTCTTTAGCAACTGAGATTCATAGTTGGTATATTTGGCATTTACTAAAGTTTATCTGTCCAGGCATTTATTTTTTGTTTGTCTACACAACTATTAGCCTTTAGGTATCTTCTATCAATAGTTATACACACTGCTTTGCTGTCTTCTCTTTTCTGATGTTGGAAAAGTTTTTGTGTCTTCTCTCCTCCATCTTATAAGTAACCTACTTGTTTTAGAAAACTGGGAGTTCAATTTCACCAACAACTCTCTAAAAATGTCATAGCCCACCTACAATTAAGTTTGCTTGGGACTTTCTAACCCTCACATTTTAACTTTAAAGAGTCAATTTGAAATTTTTTATCTCTTATACACACACACACACACAAGCTATTTCTTCAAACAAAATGCTGGACATTTCCAAAGTGAGGACACATGTCTTATGTGTCTTATGTTTCACCCTAACTCTTACTTCATATAATATATATGAACTCCAAAGTTTAACTCATGGAATGTAACTTTATTTGTATTAATTAGGAAATTTTAAAGTGAATGATTATAAAAAGTTGGTATAAATATTAAAATCACTGAATAAAAAACATTACAGAAATCAAAGATCCAACAAGGATCTTTAAAATGTAAAGAAGATCATACACTAAAACTAACAGTAAGAGTTGATTCAGCTTTTAAAGGGTATTTGATAGAACTGAAATTTTTCTTTTTTAAGATTCATAAATGGAAATTTTTCTTAGTGTTTAGCCACTTGTTATTCAATATTTCACCCCATTTACTCTAAAAAGAATATAAAACTATAATAACTATACAGAACCCCAAAATAAAGGAAAATCTTGTTATATAGTATCAAACAAATGTAAGTGTATTACTGAGTTATCATGAATTAACCATAAAAGTGACCTATAATCTCATTCAACATATTATATTTGTCTATACATTACTTACATATTTTAAGCAACAACCCATCAATTGACTTTCTATTTCATTCCTCTATTTCTGGGAGAAATAGCATAGTTAATGAAAAATTAGAAATCATTTTTAAATGCAACCTTCCCCCTCTAAAATTTTTTAATGTTTTTCAGTCTCCAACATGTTTCCTTTCTAAGACTTACTAGATAAAAATCAGTGAGTTTTTTTTTCATTCTATTTTAGAATCCCCTAGCAGATCCCCTTCAAAAAAAATACTCCTAAGCCAATTATAAATCTCAAGAACAATAAGGATTAAAAAATTGAAGTTTTGACTCATTTATAAATAAGGGAAAATATAAATAAAATATATGACATTCAGGGAATTATTTAATTCTTCCCATGAAGACCTCACAAACTTCCTTAAACACCAAATTAAAGATAATTCCTCTCCTTCTCAATATTAAGGTTCTCTGGTTTATTTAATTATTATATTACAGTGATGTCTCCTTCTTCCAAAAATAGTGTATAATACATGAAATAATTGTAAGTTATCCTCAGAACACAAGTTCAACTGAAATAGAAGAATGTAACAATTTTTTTCCTATGGGGAAACAGTACTGTAATGCTTAAAGATGAACTTTTTTTTTTTTTTTCAAAGATTTTATCCATTTATTCGTACAGAACTGGGGTACAGGCCAGAGATGCGGAGGGTGAGAGGATTCACCAGAGACAGAGCGGGGAGCAGAACAGGCAGATCGATGAAGTACACTGCTGAGGGGAGCAGCGGGCGGGTCAGGAGAGGTCTGCCACGCCATGTGGTCGCCTCCGGGGCAGGCGGGGATCGAACTCATGCGGAAGTGGCTTTAGTTTCTCAGTGCAGTGCTTTAACCCGCTGCACCACCAGGGAGGGCCAAGATGAACTTTTAAAAAAATGTAATTTTTAAATCCAAACAGAATGCCTCTAAACAAATATTAAGTGTGATGTGAAAAAATTGAAGGAAATTTAGAGATTAAGAATAAGTCTATTTATAGATAATGCTGGGCTTCAATGTTTTATTCCTTCCCAAATTCTTAAGGTGGGTGGGTAACCCCTAAAGCAATGGTAATAGTAGGTGAGGTGTCTGGGAGGCTCTTAGTTACACTAAGGGTGGATCCCACAGGTATGTGATTAGCGTCTTGTAAAAGAGGATCTAGAGAGATTTCCTTGTAAGCATCTTCCAAGTAAGGATATGAGCGTCCACACCCTAGACAAAGTCCTCATCTGATCAAGCTGGCATCTAATCTCATTCCCAACCTCTAGAACTGTGATGAATAAACTTCTGGGTTGTTTGTAAGTTATCCAGTCTCTGGTATTTTACTGAAGCCAGCCCAAATATGTATTTGCTAGCAATCCATAATTTTCATTTTCATATTTACTCATCTTCCCTCATCAACGGGCCTTCTCAAATGAAATTATTCCAAAAATATAACTTAAGAATCCAGTAATAGCTTCCAAATTATGACCCATTACTATATTCTTGGAAATTTGAGGCCTAAAGAGTTTCTCAAATTGTTTTGGTATATTTCCTGAATAGACACACACACATGCACACGCATAAATATGCACTCACTCTAATTTCATGCAGCCTCCAAACCCAGAAAACAAATGATAAACAAAAGAGATATTAAATAGCTGCAGCCAGCTTCCAGAGCAGCCCCAATGATTCTCATGTTCTGCTATATCCACCTCTGTGCTGTGCTCCAGATAAAGCAGGCTGTCCTTTTCAGACAGCACTGCAGCAGTCTTCTGCCACTACCAGCACTCCTTGCCAGGCATGCCCCTGAGTCATCTCAGCAGCAGACCCACCAGCCCCAGTGAAGTCCTAAGATGACCTCATTAAGGAGATGCAAAAGCTAACTCACCAAAGTCAGCTACTCAGGACATCTTCCCCACAGACAGAGTGAAAGTTAACTGGCTTAAGTTAGTAAGTAGTGAGGAAATTTGTGAGGCTACAAGATAATATAGTAGCACAATGCACACGAGAAAGGAAACGATCATTTCATTTTGTTAACGGAGGTAAGTATAAAACATATGACAACTGCAAAGGTAAAAAGCCCAATGGTTTAGGAAACACCTTGTCACTCTCCAAGGTGAAGCAGCATTGTGTCTGAAGGAGCCAATAGCAATCTCAGAGGAAGTAGAAAACACTGGGATAGAAAACACTTGAAGTTTGCAGTGCTTTTCAAAGTCCTAACACAAGGTTCTTTTTTTTTGGGGGGGGGGGGAACTGAGTAACAGCTGATCCAATGCTAAGAGCCACCACCCCCATTTTTTTAATCATCATCTGCCTGCCCAGGCCCTGTGAGAACAGTTGATCTTGAGTCGCTGATTTAAGTTTCAAAAACTGGGAAGGGCTGTATTAGTAATGAATGAATCAGTGGAAACAAGATCACAACTTAATTATTTACACTTTCAATCCTGACAATTCACCTTTCAAATAATAAAACCCAATTAGATCTAAGTTTATTTCTACTTATATAGACTATCTGGAAGCTGAAACTGTATACTGAGTCTTTGGTATAGTTTAAGAAAACAAAACATTATATAAGTCATCGTGACTGACTTATGAATAACAAAAGGTATTTAAATCCCAACAAATGTGGCAGCCTGATAAAACCAGTAAACTATTTTCAAAGCTCTTCATTAACAAATGTCACTATGCTTGCAGTATTTATTTTCACCTTATATTACAGTCTTTCTTATGTCAACAACATAAATGATCTTTCTTTTTAAGATTTATTTATATAGGCACACAAGAAATGGGGTATGATAGGCCAGAGTGGGGGAGAAGAGAGGATTCACCAGAGACAGAGTAGGGAACAGAACAGACAGATTGGCTGAAATATACTGCTGAAGGGAGCAGTGGGCAGGTCAGGAGAGGTCTGCTACATCAAGTGAGTCACCTCCCTGGCAGGGGATCAAAGTAGTGCTGCAGTGGCTGTGACAGCTTCATGGTGCTGT